AATGGACAAACACATCTTGCAGAAATTCAAAAACAAAGCAGATATAATCCGTAAATAAATGATAAAAATGTATCATCAGTTCCTTCAAAAATGAAATAAGACTGAAAACGAACATTTCTATTACATTGCTTATATATTTAATCATTTTTCTCAGTTTTTTGGTCCATTCTCTATATGTAAGATTGTGTCTTGGTCTTTACCTGTGTTTTGAAGCATTTTCAGCTCTAACTCCTAGACATTATAAAATTAGTTTTCAAGTCCTGAATTATGAGGACTTAATTATTCATTAAGTTAGACTGTTTTTTGTGTTTGTGTTTTTTTAATGTGTATATCTTACTCTCCTCTATTTTTCCTGTTTTTGATTTTTGTAATGTTGTCTTTTAAACCAATGTTAGGTTTTGAATAGATCTAACTGTACTACTGGTTGAGTCATTTGAATATTTCTTTTCTCTCCTCAGATGTTTCCTCGGTGTCTTTCCTCCAGAAGTCTCCATCTTCTCCAGTCAGCTGCTTCGCTACAGGTTTCTATCCCAGCAGGGCTGAAATGTTCTGGAGGAAAGGGGAAGAGGAGATTCATGCTGGTGTGAATGAAGGAGAAATCCTCCCCAATAATGACAGAACCTTCCAGATTAGTGTTGATTTAGATCTGTCATCTGTTCCACCTGAAGACTGGACAAAGTATGAATGTGTGTTTCATCTCTCTGGATTCAAGTGTGACGTTGTCAACAGACTGGAGAAATCAAAAATCAGAATCAATGTCGAAGGTGAGAATAACATGAGAAGTAGGAAACATTTTTGGGAAATAAGCCATAGCTAGGTGCTGAAATTTTTTGTATTTTCATAAATGAATGCAGAAATATAAATTAATTTTTTACATTTTCTGCAAATCTTTTGACTTCTAGAGCAGCATCATAAGTTCCTGTGTGGCCCAGATCACATCAAATGTTAACTGCAAGACAAAATAGTTACTTAATTATATTGTAGTAAGATTATATTACCAACAGCTAAGCGACATACATGGACCAAGAATAGTCTTACTCATTGTAACTTAATTTCAGTACAATGAATATTTAATATGCAGATTTGTATTTTCTTTTCCACAGAAAAGCCAAATGTGTTGGAAGTCCCTATAATCGCAATTACAGTCTCAACTGCTGTAACAATACTCGTTTTAATGGTTGCTGTGGGTTTTCTCTGCAGAAAGCGTGAAAAATCAATCAATTTTGCTTGTTATTATTTATTTTAAGCTGAGCTAAAAAATATACAGCTCTGGAAAAAATTAAAAGACCACTTCCAGATTTTCTCTGATGTTACGACTTATATGTTTGGGTAAAATGAACATTGTTCTTTTATTCTATGAACTACTGACAACATGTCTCAGAAATTCCAGGCACATATTTAGTTTTTATTTGCAGCAAATGATAAATGGTCAAAATAACAAAAAAGATGCAGCATTTTCAGCATTTCATTACCTCAAATAATGAAAAGAAAACAACCATGGGCTTCAGTAGGGTCTTAAGATTTTTCCGAGCTGTATAGATATATCTAAATGTAAAAAAATGCACACATATTTTATGGTTACAGCAGTATCACAAACCTGTTCTTCAGTTTTTACTGTAACAGCTCAACCCGTGCATTTTTTTTCTTTTTACAGTCAAGCGTCTTCAATCTCGTGAGTAAAACATGTCTAATATACTCTGATTTAGTTACTTGATAAATCGTTTCTGTAATTTGATCTTAAGAACCTTTTCACCAGTTTTCTGCCTTTGGTATAAAGCAGAATTTTCCTAACACTTTACTGTGTGACTTACAGCTTTACGAAACAATGAACCTGAGCAACAAATGCTTCAAACAAGATCAAGATACCGAAACAGTGAGTTATTTCATATATCATAAGGTAACTTTGAAACTACATAGAGAATTAATATTGTAAAACATTCTGCTGACTGAGAAAGTGTTTTAAATCTTTTAATCATATGGAAAGTGCTATAAAAATTTATTAAATGCATAACATTTACTTGGACACTTTAATTGATTATCTTTCTTTTTTTTTCAGGCTTTCATAGGCATCAAATTGAGGATGAACTCTATCACCTTTAACCATTTACAATTTAAAACAAATCATCTCTAGGATTTTACTTTCTTCAATCCTTGATATGAAAACATAAAACAGTAAAAAAAATTTAGGGATATTTTCACATTTTAGTAAAGAAACACTTATACACCACAAAAACATAAACTCATGACTTTTGAAGTAGTTCTATTATTCTTAGTAGCAGTAATACTTAAAAAGATATATTTTTCAGCTTAAAACCTGACACTGACGTCCAGCCTAGTTACCTTTTTGTTACACTGTTGTTTTTATCTCTTGTGTATTTCTGCTGTTTTTAAATAAAGTGCTCATTCATATCTCATTATTGTACATTCATGCACATTGGAGAAGATGGGTCTACATTGTTATAAAAACTGACTACTACAAAAATCACCAGATTTAACTACATTTTGAGTCTTAACTAAGTTTTTCATGCAGATTCTCCAGCTAATTTCTTTAATAGACTTGACCAGGTTAAGGCAGATTTATTTTCATAACACGTTCCAGTGGTAAGATGATTAAAAAGTGATTTACATAATGAAAATACTAGAAAATGCAGGGAGTTTAGGAAAT